CAAACACGAGCATTTGTTAGATCATAGCAAAATACGTCTGACTCTTACATTTTTTGTCTGTACCCTTGCACACAGGTAGATGTAACTAAGCTACGATCGGTGTCAATTTCAGCGAAACAGCACAAAAGAATGGTAATGAACTGAGGTGGTGGAGACTCTCCAATAATATGTGAAATGAACGTTACCGAAGTGACGTGACATTCATGTAGTAGATGACAAATAACCTTGTTTGTTACATTATGATTTCTTATATTACTGCCTTAAAACGCTTCATTAAATGATTTTTATGTCAATAATTGCTTTTTTTTCAAAATTTTCTTATTATTAATTTACATATTATTAAAAGCTTGAAATGTACGTTACCTACTCATATTCTGAGGCAATCGTGTCTTTATAGTTGTGATTGCGACATATAACACAATGTGATTACATAGAGAATCTTTTTTTAATAAACTGAAACAAAACGATGAATTTTTAGATGAATTTTAAGCTTTTTATTGAACAGGAATATATCTTGAAATGTACGTTACAATTACGTAGTTTTCTAAATCGGCATGGATATATGTTAAAAAAGACAGTAACTACAAAATAGAATTTTACTACATGTACAAGTTAGGTTCCAGTATCTATAGAAAATGACAAGATTCCAAAACTGATCGCTCTAAACAAAACAGAGAGAAGAATTTAAAGCATGTATTTAAAAAATGTTTTTATACATCTGGATCAAAAAGTAACCATTGTTTTTTGAAAGGAAAAATCAAACGCACGTTCGTATGCTGAGAAAATATGTTGCTGACAGAGTTGGTAGGATGTGCTGGAGTTAAGATGAGCTATTCCAATTGTGATTTTAATGACTACATTTTTTTATATATATCTTTTTGGACATTGAAGAAAGAGTAACGTACATTTCAAGCTACATTTCTGAATAAAATCACCCTCTGCTTTATCGTCTTGTCATTATTCCATGTATTATAATTTGATGAAAAAAAATCTGGAAACAAAATCTTCAGATACTTTCTTTCAAAGGTAATTGATAGAAAAATTGTTTTCTTGAACTTCATTTTTTAAAAAAATCAGAGAGGCATTTGTGCCCTTATATTGAGAATGGGTGTATATCCTTTGAATTATAGGTCAACCTAAACCACGTGGCTTGAATTTAAATCACAATAACAATAGTACGGGGGTATCCATTGTGTATACACCTGTAGTATTCCTTTCTAAACCTCACCGTATAAGGAAAAGAGGTCATGTGTGACAGCAAATTAACTCGTACATAACGTTTTCCGTCTGCTATTTTTGTCCCTGGATAATATCTACGATTAACTGATGATAATATTTCAACGTTCAGTGACCTCAATGTTTGTTCAATTTCTTCATCCTCAATATATGCTGGGATGTGCAAGAAACTGACCACAATTGAACTTTGTACGACCTCATGACATTCAAATATTTTGTCGCCCACTTTGACACCTTCAAGTACTAGTAAATACTGTGTTGGTGCATTCCCATCTAACGTGATTTAGTAGAGATTCCCAGATTTGGGTACACAAGCATACAAAGTTCCAATTCCACATTTGTCATGTACAAATTTGATTATATCTGTAGGTTTAATCAGAGAATTATCCTTGACATCTACAATTAAGGAATGTTCTCTACTGTACTTGCTGGATACAGAAATATTGTTTGATCCGCCAAGATGGCCGCCACTGGACGTGGCTGCCATCCTTCACTTGTTTTACACGAAATGTTCAAAAACTAATGAAATTGAAAAATATATACACACAAAATACGAACATATATACAGTCCACCTTCTGTCAAAAGACAAATGGTAGGGGTTCACCACTTACAGATAACACTATAGGTAATTTTCCGCAAGCGAAATTTCCTCGTGCTCACTCTGCAAAAACTAAACCGGAAGTCAAAGCGAGAGACATACCACTACACCAAGGAACCGCTTTAAACTAGCAAAAATTATATGCAAAGATGAAGTTACATACATGTATACATTCACGTTCGATGTTGTCAAAATTTTACACAATGCATGATATCTAATTTAACCTTTATTAAACAGTTCTCTGAAAATTTGAGCGAAATCCTTTGAGAAATTAGCGAGATATGAGGCCTCAAAGTTGGCGTCTACATGTAGGAAGAAGAAGAAAAAAAGAATAATAATCTTTACCAACAGAATCAGTAGCAGGTCTTCCGTTGGAAACGGAACACCTTAATTAACAATAGAATTACATCTTCCATATCACGTACGCCTTAATCGTGGAATTTTTTTTTTTTTATCAATAAAAGGAAATTAATCATTAACACAAATATATAAATTATTAAGTTTAATGAAATTATTGCTCCATATGAATAGTGGGTTGTGTAAATTATATACATATTGTTAATTAATTGTAAATTCAGTCAATTAATGAATATTAACACAATATACATCAACTTATAATCGACATCAGAATTCATACAAACCAAGATGTGTTTAATTTTGCTACGAAATTTAAACAAGAGATGTTTGAAAAACACTTAAGCCCCCCTCCCTCAAAATTGGAATTTTTCTAAGTCCAAAAGGGCTTAACTTTGTCAAAAATGGTGCGATCGTATCCAGAACAGAACTTAACCTAGATATTCATCTGATAATTCTTTATACTAGATTTCATTTCAGTACTAGTATTTATGGAATGCCATATACGACAGCCAACTGCTTACTGCCAACTGCTGACTGCTTACTGCCAACTGTCAGCTGCTTACTGCCAACTGCCACACACATTTGAATAAATTTTATTTTCATATTGATATTTATGTAAATTTAAAAAAAAGGCACGGATCTATAGGACATTTTTTCCAAAGGGGTTACTCTGGTAAAAAAAAATCCAACCCAGAAATTTCTTGACAAGAAAAAATACGTAAATAGCTTTCCTAAATGTGAAAATTTATTTCGGCCGGGGAGAGGGGGTTCTTATGCGTCATACCTTCATGGGTATGACATTTTTCATAACAACTTAACACGAATCCACATTTTCGGTTGGGGAGGGGGGGGTTCTAAGGTCCCTTTTAGTTGATTTATTTTATAATTAAATAACTTTTAGTTGGTTTAGTTTGTGCATTAAATAACTTTACAAATTTCAGATGGGTGTTCTGGACCCCTCTCTCTAGATCTATGCATGTAAAACATATTTTATTTGTACAAACAAACAGATATAAATGTTTGATCGGCGTTTTCTAAGTGGAGGGTCCAAGGTCAGTTATACCGATAGTTCGTTTAGTTTATTTAACGTATTACTGAACAATTTTTAAATGCCCCCCCCCCCGCTCTATGCATGTGAAACATTACAGGGACGTAGCAACAGGGGGGGGGGAGCAGGGGGGGCCTGCCCCCCCCACTTTTTTCCCCCAACATTACCGTTACTGTATATTGAAAGGATGGTTGCCCCACCCCACTTCTTACCATAGTATAATGATATCAAGGATATGTAGTATTGTGTGGAAAAAAATGTAAGTGAAAGGTAGTTGGCCTTAAAATAAAGTAAGCTACCTAACCCCCCCCCCCCCCCCCCCCCCCCTTAAGAAATAGGATTTTCGAGTTTGGGCTATTTTTTTTTTTTTTTTTTTTTTTTTTTTTTGGTTTTAAAAAAAAAAAATTTTTTTGGGGGGCCAGCCCCCCCCCCCCCCCCCCCCCACTTTCAAAAACGATGCTACGTGCCTGCATTATAACACACAGAGATATACATCCTTAATTTGAGGAAATTTTTAACTATAGGAAAACGGAAATTTATTTTCAAAACATCTTTCTCTGCGAAACGACAAATCTTTTTTATTAATATTCTCTCTTCAAAGGTTTTGTTGTCCCCGGGGGAAGGGGGGGGGGGCTTCTTTAAAGATTAAAAGCAGAAAATAGTCATTTTATTACTTATTTCAAATGGGAAAACAAATAAAAAAAAATTAACAATGTACTTTATCAACCGCATATTTTGAATATACATAAGATAAAACATATTGGTCATTTCATTCAATTCAATTTTACCAGGTGACCCCCTTGGAAAAAATATCGTGGATCCGTGCCTTTTTTTCCCCTTTTTGTGAAAATTCATATAAATATCAATACAAATATAAAATTTATTCAAATATGTGTGGCAGTTAGCAGTAAGCAGCTGACAGTTGGCAGTAAGCAGTCAGCAGTTGGCAGTAAGCAGTTGCCTGTCGTATATGGCATTCCATAAGTATTTGCAACAGCTGTGAAGGAAATGAACGGAAACTGCAAATAATTGGAATTTTTTCAAGTCCAACGGGCAAAACTCTGTCAAAAATGATGCGATTGTACCCAAAACAGAACTTGACCTAGATAGTCATCTGTTAAATCTGAATACTAAATTTCATTTTAGTAAGTGCAACCTTGCTAAGAAAATGAACGGAAACTGCAAATAATTGGAATTTATCAAAGTCCAAGGGGCATGACTCTGTAAAAAATGGCGCGATCGTACCCAAAACAGAACTTGACCTAGATATTAATCTGATATATCTGTATACCAAATTTCATTTCAATATGTGCAACGGTTGTAAAGAAAATGAACGGAAACTAAGTGGACCGACAGACCGACCGACCGACATACAGCAGCAAAGCAATATGCTCTCCCTTCTTCGAAGGGGGGCATAAAAAGTCAAAAATGTTGGTATCAAAAGGAAGGTCCTACATGCATCACAAGGGATAAACTATGAAATATCCTTAGTACTAACTTTTCAAAAGTGACAGCAAAGGATTTTTTAAAAATGGGTTAAACTCCAAGGTCAAGGCGTGAAATTTGGTGGTACCCAAAGAAAGGTTTTGTCACAAGGAAAACACTTCTGAATAATGAAAAATTTAACATAAAAACAATCAAAAAAGTGCAAGTAATAAACTTTTATCTAAGTGTTTAAGTTGTATGCAAATTTACAAATTATTTGTATTATATTTCATAAAAATAATTTTATCTACCGAAAAAATTACATCTAAATAACATTAAGCTGGACAAACATTTATATAATTATTTTTGGTATAAAGTGAGTATACAAGACTTTGCACTGAGGTTTTCCTAGCTTTAACACAGGAACCCGAAAAGCTCTTAACTTTACATTTCGATATTTTTCTGGTTTTCTTCTTAAAATATAAATCATCTGACTTCACGTAGTTCCTTAAAATAATTTGGAAAAGGCATCTAATGTTACAGTTCAGTTTAGCACTTGTTTCAGTAAAGCAGAGCATTTCCTCGGTTACTGATTTCTTCAGAACTTCTTCAGTAGTTACTTTTCTAGAATTCGTTTTGTCTATCTTGTTTCCCACAAGAATTATCCTGCTGAAGTCTTTTCCTGAAATGTTCATAAAATAATTAAGTCAAAATTTGTACTGACTAAAAAATAACTGTTTCATTAGCATGAAATAAGAAAACAATTTTTTGTTTGTCACAGTTTAATTCGATCAGATATATTAATTTTTACCTTTAATGTCTTTGACTTTTTTAATAAGTGAGTGGGCCTGATGAAATGACTGGGGGTCATCTACTGCATACACCACGACAAAATCGTCTCCATTCCTAATATTAAGGTCTTGCATGGCGGGAAACTCATTGCTGCCTGAAGTATCGATGATTTGAACTTGTTGAAATAAGCCGTCTGCAGAAATTATAAAGACGATGAAAAAATATGATTTTTTAAATATCAAATTGGGAACACAAAACTAAAAAAAACTTTAAAATAATTTCATTTTCTATGAGAAAATTATTCAAAGCATTATCTATACTTACTAGGGAGGCAAACAGTTTCGTTGTAACAGTTTTCAAGAGTTGGCTCGGTTGCTTCTTGGAAAGATCCGTACAGGAATTGTTTAATAATACTCGTTTTCCCTACCCGCTCTGCTCCAAGAAATACAATACGTAGTTGCCTCATTTTATTTCAATCAAGAGGAATTTTACAATAATGTTTTGGATTTTAAAAATTTTCATTTATATCTCATTTGAAATAAATTTTCTAATGTCATTCAAAGTTACATGTTAATTTACATCCTACGTAGATTACCTTTTACGGATAAGAAATACAAGTGGTTAAGCAATGTTAACGTATCATAGACAGGAAACAGTAAAAGACAATCTATCAAGTAAGAATTGAAGGATCTGATTGGTTATAAATAATTACGTAAACATTTAGATAGATCTGCTATTAAACAAGTAAACGTTTTATCTATAATGCAACGTTTAGGGCTAAAAATATACTTCATACATATTATCAATATCTTGTTCTTCTAGCTCATGTATACAAATATGAGTAAATTTTACTCTGCTTTGAAGATTCTATCAAATAAAATGTGAAATAAAAACTCATTATCTTAATATAGGTCGTAGAAAGTGTATAGTGACGTATGAAGATTCGGTGAAAACAAATTTCTTCCAATGAAAAAATGATGATTAAGAAAATATTCTTTTTATGCATAATATTTATACCCCCCGCTTGAAAAGCGGGAGGGTATATAGTAATCGGTATTTCCGTCCGTCTGTACGTCTGTCCGTCCGTCCGTCCGTCTGTCCGTCCGTCCTTCCGTCTGTCCGTCCGTCCGTCCGTCTGTTACGCTTTTGGGTACCCATCTCTTATCCGCAACTCCTCTCATACCACTGAAGGAAATTTAATGAAACTTTCACAGAATCTTTATTACATATTGCCATTGTGCACCTCCTATTTTACTTTTTGATCTGACATATATTTTGGATTTTCCAGAGCAAAACATGGATACTGCCAATATATTCATATGGGAGGCGGGGGGTATCATTTAGTGAGCTCATTGCTCACAGTAACTCTAGTTTTAGATCATTTCCTTAGGGTGACAAGTTCATTTTATCCTATATTTTTAAAAAGATCCAAAAATTGAAAATAAACATATAATATCCCCTTTGTTTCACCCTGTTAAAAACATTATGACCCCAATATTCATGCGTTTCAGACTATAAGAGTAGTCATTATTTAGTTACTCGTTTTTTTTCCCTGACAAATACAGTTATGCCCGTCTGAGACATATACCGATAAAACTAATCATACAATTTGTCCTATTGCATGTTTCAAGGCAAATATTTTTTACATGCCTGCTTCGTATTCAGTAAACATGTAATGTAAAACCTCATTATATGGCTCAAAATCACTGATGAAACACCTCTTATTTATTTCATTTAAATATGATTTATTGTTTCACACAAAAGGATCAAAATGAGTTCTAACAAATTACCAGTATTCCCAGTGTTAGTAAAGTTAATACAGTTAGTACATTTGTCATAATAATAACATAGGAAATAATATTGGCAAGTGACATGAATAAATTGAAATGTTCATCGTGTATTTGGTGCCTTCCCCATTGCTGCTCTGTAGTATGAAAGTCATATTTCTTCTCAATAAAAAGGTATGACCAAGGTTAATTTTTTGGGACGGAATGACAGACTTACAGACTGACAGATGGATGAGATTTAATGTTCCCTCGCTTTTGCGAAAGCGGGGGACAAGAATTGGACAGTAATATTTTTTCAATAACACCTCATGGTTTAAATCGCTACTTAACAGCTTGATCTGAGTATACGACCAATTTTTAAAGCGAGTCAAAAAAAAAAGAAGAAGAAAGTTTCATCGGATGAAGGAAATCAAATGAGTTTGAGATCAGGGAGCGAGACAAACTAACTAAACAACTGTACCGCTTTTGCTATTTATGTCAATGACCAGCAAAACACAACAAGACAGACTTTTTTAAATTAAGCAACTGTACTGCTTTTGCTATGTATGTCAATGACCAGCAAAAACACACATCAGACAGTGTTAATCCACTCCTATTTCCCTCCACTGCTGTTCGGCCTCAAAGTTATTGTACACCCGCAAAGAGGTCGGGAAACCGTACTCACATGAGACATATTTTTCCTTATTTGTTTTCAATTTTAATGAATTCATATATATTTTCTTTTATTATTCATAAAACAAAAGGTGATTAAAATACTTTGTTTACCGGTGTAATTTCATAAAATTAATGTTATCATATTATTCAAAATATGGGAAGTAAGTGACAAACTGCATTGGTAAGCGTGATATACATCTATACAATGTTGCACTATGCAAGGTTAATAAACTATATTATATTAGGTGTTCTCAAAAATACTTTTAAATATATCTGTATTTTTACACGTAAATACGACAACGGTAACTTTTCAGTATGGTTACTTAAACCTAGTTAAAAAAAAAAAAATTTCGGTATGTACTCCAGTATACACTCAATGTATTACAAGTACTGTGGAATGAAATTATTTGTTAACTGGAGAAGCCAAAGTTAGTACGGTTAATACTACAACCACTAGAAGGGGTACGCATCCATGTCAATGGATCATACGCACGGTGAGCACTCTGTTATGATCAGGTAAACGGAATTATAATGCGTCAAAATCGTATAAAAACAAAGGCATAAAATAGGTCGGAAATATGGCATTCTAGATGCGATCTAATAATGCTTGTAAGTTTTATTTGCAAATAAGTGTTCATTATGATGACAATTCAATTTTTCGAAATGCTGACTGTTATCGAAATAGCTTGACTCGTGTAACATCAATTTCTTTGGTAATAGCCTGTTACTGTTTTAATTTGATATAATTAGAACATGCATTGGAGTATCGAATCAGAGATAAACACCATGTGCAGGTTATTGTTGAACAAAACTCCATAAATGTTGAGAAGTGGCGATGGAAAAATATACACTTACTCAAAAGTTAAGGACCACTGACTTTTATGTGATAATTGAAAGTAAAAAAAAATATTTTGATTGAATAAATTCAGATTTACTGGTCAATCATACGCTTATTTATCATTTGTTTTTGTGCTACCTGGATAGCTCTGTTTAAATATTTGTAAAACCGGTTTCTTCAAGGCTATCAATGCGTGTTCGAACAATCCAGTTTTCAATTGTATTCACATCAATGTTCGCATGAGCTTTACCGATAGGGAGACAAAGTTACAAGTTTTGTGCAACCATGCCTCGTCGGAATCTATCGGATGCTGAACGTTGGCAGGCTATTGAAATGGTTAGAACTGGAATGACGTACAGGAGGGTTGGTGATCACTTTAATGTCAGTCACACTGTTATTTTGCGTCTGGTACAGCGCTGGAGAAGAACTGGGTGTGTGGATGAAGCTACAAGATCTGGAAGACCCCGAAAGACCACAGAAAGAGAAGATAGACTTCTAAAACGTCTTGCTAAACGGAGTTCTTTTGACACAGCAAACACACTGAGAAGCAAGTGGAACACCCAAGCTCGAATCAGTAGAAGCACGGTTAACAGGAGGCTAAACAAAGAATGGATGCGATCATGTCGGCCAATTAAACGTCCACTCTTATCCCAGAGACACAAAGAAGCAAGATTACAATGGGCAAAACAGCATAGGAGGTGGAACATTCGATCATGGCAGAGAATACATTGGTCAGACGAAAGCCGGTTCTTGCTTCACCCGGTAGACGGCAGGGTTCGGGTATGGAGACATCCAAATTCTGCATTCAAATAACAACATGTATTGGGAACGAAGGCCTTTGATGGAGGCGATATAACAGTATGGGGATGCTTCTCTTTGCAATTTAAACTGGAACTGCACATTATTGATGGCACCTTTACTACTAAAAAGTACAGGGACAACATACTAAGCCCATTAGTTGTGCCTCATTTCGATGATCACTAGTACTCATTTGCAAGTCGACCTGTACTAATGGATGACAACGCTAGACCTCATAGAGCCCGAATAATTCAAGACTATCTTCGCCAAGAAGCCATTGAAACCCTGCCTTGGCCCGCCATGTCCCCAGATATGAATCCAATTGAACATGTTTGGGATTATCTTGGTCGTAAAATTAATCAGAGGACCCCAAGATATGAAAACGTACAAGAATTGAAAGACTCTTTAATTCAGGAATGGAGACAGTTCCCCCAAAACCGTCTACGACGACTTGTCCACAGTAGGAGAAGGCGTGTGAAAGAACTGTACAAAAGTCGTGGTGGATATACACATTATTAAATATCCATGCTTATAAAATGTTGAACATTGATGACTCTTCAAATGCCAATAAAGTTAAACATGCTAATTGTCAGCATTTTTTGTCAACAACAAATTAAAGTGAAACTTTAAATTCTACATTTTTTGACTTGAATTCCTTTCTTTGGAAAATTATCAATTGCATAAAACTAATTAATTATCAGATAATTTCGAAACATGCATTAACTAAGAAAAGTTTAGATCTACTAAGATTTTAAAACGAAAATTATAATATTTAATTGGATACGTTTGAGTTTTTATGAAATGTTTAAAGATTTTCGCAAAAGAGTGCTGGTCCTTAACTTTTGAGTAAGTGTATATATATGAAGTCGTTCCCAGATACAATGTGTTAAGTGTTGTTGTTCATTTAATTCCATATTAGCATAGATATTCAGTAAAATATCCAAGTATGATGTGGATATGCACGTGGTAGACCCTGTATTTCCTTTCAATTTTAAATCACTGTGATTTATTGAGTTTAAATATGAATACACATTTTATCAATCGATAAATCGGCTAAATATCAAAAATGGAATTGAAAGCCTTAGAGATTTCATTAGAGTTTTTATATAAATTCTACTTCATAGGAATATAAAAACAAGTCAAGAGCATGAAACAGTGAAATGGTATTAAATAATGTTTTGTAAAAAAAATGTAACATTGTAACATTTCAGCGTTACAAACCGTGTTACCTTTATGTTCATGACCCTAGTCTGCCTTCATGTCAAATCAAATAAGACAGTCTAGTATCAGAATACAATGTGGAACAACAATTTCCCATTTCAAAATTTAGCTCTTATAACGAAACAGACTAAACCAGAACAAACTGAATACATTGTGAAACCTATGTCCAAAGAAAAATAAATGATACACTAGTAACTTTTTAACAAAAATACCATAACATCGTGAATATGTTGATGCATTTCTTTCAGTGAATGAGAATTTTTTATAAAATAGGAAAATACACGGTAATTCAATGTTTGTTCAATGAATAACAAACGTGTTAAAACAAAACAATTAAACTTTATATCAAGAAGGATCATTGGTACGAGAATTCCATAAAGGAATTTTGTGACCTAGCTCAATGAGCTGTGTACTTACAGTACGCGAGCGAGGGTGATTATAAGGATGTTTGTTACAACTGAGCACTAAACAACAACTGAAAATAGATTTCAGTTAATTGTAATGGTATAGTCAATCATTTAACAAATTTAACTCCCAAAAGCTTTTAAAAACTTCGATTTTTACTTCTAAAAAAGTTTTCCCCTTGTTTTTCTTTTATTTGAGTTTGTATAACTTATCAGCTTTTACATGTGCATATGAGATTTTGCCTTGTAAGCTTTTATATACTTATATAAGCTTATTATAATATTATTAATGTTAAAGAAAGAGAAATTAATTTTAAATGACAATAATAATTAATAGAAATATTAAGGCTCAAAGCTTAAAGAAAATATCTAACTAAATAAATGAATCATTGGCAAATTAGGCTCATTAAAATTCGTTTAAAATATACGTAACCGTCACAGAAGCTGGTTTGGTAAAGTGCTCGTTCCGTGTTCGGAAGGTCGTGAGCTCTGGCCTGGGGGCCAAAAAACTTAGACGAGCTCACTTTTGATCTCAGTCTCACTTTTCCATTATTAATTCCTTTGGAAAAAGTGAGACTGAGATCAAAAGCGAGCTCGTCTAAGTTTTATGACCCCCAGGCCTGGCCAAGACTGACCTTGGTCGATAATTTTTTTTCTTTTGTCAAGCGCTCGGCACTTTGAAATGAAAGTTGTCGACCTATGGGTGAGACCGAGGCAATATCGAGGCAAATATCAAGACAGGAATGCTCACATAAAACATAGCATGGCCACTTTTTGGGTTTTTGTTTTGCTAGAACTTTAACTGTGTTTGAACGACTAAAGAAAAATTTAAATTTAAATTATTGTTCATAAAACATCATTCTTTTAAAGTTACGGTGAAATGAAAATATAAAAAAAAAAAAAGAAAAGAAAAAAAGAGTCTTTCTTCATTGTTTATTACTAGCGATAGAATCATCTGAAATTAACGATTTCACTTAATTTTGTAGAAGACTCTGACGATGTCCATTGAGACAGTATACAAGTAAATTACTCAGAAAAAAATAAAAGAATTTTTCCTTATGGCTACAAAACATTTAAAGTAATTACTTATCTTTCATAATATTGTTCTATCCATCGTCTTTTTAACAACAGTATATACGAGTATATATGACATCATATGTTTTGCATCGTCATCACTCGTAAAGGTTTAACTTGTGGCGCCCTAAACCTTCTGGTGTTGTATTCTTTGTATTTCTTTCGCTCTTCTTCGTCATCGTCATCATCATCACGTTTCGCCAAGGCAGCCCAAATCTTTTTGCAACAGACACTCAGTATGCCTATTGTTACCACAGACACGCCTCCCAAAACTGCATAAAGGCTAAACCGGTACCAAGAAGGGGCGTTCGATGGGAAGACTTGCAAAAATAAATAGATGCTAAGCATGAGCTTATCTTCATCACACTTTACGTTTGCCTGATTCTAAAGACAAAAAATCTGTGTAGTTCAGATTGAAGCGAACGTTTTTAAAAGTGAATCATAATTAATCTGTAAACACTGCTTAGTCAATTGTTAATCTTTGATTCAATTTGTAACTTATATTAAAATTTAATAACAAAACAAACAACATTGACTTACTACTCGGTGACATCCCTCCTTCTGGTACCTTGTCCATTGTTGATCTTTTAGTTGTAATTTGTGTGGTTTCCATAGGTGTTTGTGCTGTTGTTGTTGTTGTTCTCGCTTCTGCTGTTTGCTTGTCCAATGTTGATCTAATTGTTGTACTGTGTGTGGTTTCAATATTTGAAGAGCTTAAAGTAGTCCTTTGTTGGGTTGAGTGGATAGTTGTTCGCGCTGTTGTTGTTGTCGTCGTCACTTCTCTTGATTGTTTGGTAGCTGAGACAGTTGTTGTCGATGATCTCGTTGACTCCTCGGTATTATCACTTGTTGTTGGAGAATTTGTAAAGTTCAAAACTGGAGTTGTCTTTATTGATGTTCTCGAAATTGTAGTTCCTACTGTTGTATCTATTTAAAAGATTTTTCTGCCTTTTATTCAAGATGCCTTGCCTTTAGCTTTTAATGATTTGAAAAGAATAATTAAGATAAAAACATTTAAAAGGACAAATAAAAGTATTTATTTTCCATACGTATGGCTGTAAGACAGTCCTCATCCATTCTCCCGTCATTGTCATTGTCTGAAACGATATAACGCCATTAAAAACAATTCATAAAAAATACACATTGTCATTGTAATCTTCATTTGCATCTTTCGAAAAAAAAATTCAATTTACCTTGGTTATCACGACAGATTTCTTCGTCGATATCACCATCACAATCGTTATCGAGCCCATCTCCAACAGTCATTGACGTTTGTTGGCATATCTATTTTTTGATGGTTAAAAATACATGTATCATTAAAACGAAACAAAATAGTTTTACTAAATGACTAATGTAAAACATACATTCTTACTTCATTTATTTGTGCAAATCGTTGTCCAACAGGAAAGCAGTATGACTCCTTATTAGCACCTCCGTATAATATTCCACTAAATTTGGCTATAACTGAAGAATGTTTCAAAGTGTGACTTCCAGGAGGTATTTCTAAATACCCGGCAGAGAAGCTGTCATGGGGCACCAATCCTTTGATTTGGGACATAGAAACTGGTTTACCATCAAGAACGATTCCATTTTTATCCTTTATCTCTATAACAAAAACGAAAACTGTTGAAAATTCTGCATTTCGTGATGATACAGGGGTCGCGAAGGAATAAAAACTGTTAAACTGTTCTCTAGGTGGAATCAGTGCCATAGCGGGGTCCCCTGATTTGCTACGGTCTGTAGGACTTGGAACATATAAAACTGACAAAATTGGTTTATTAGAAGTTACAACGGAGAACCCTTGTAATCTTGTTTCTAGGAAATACCCAGATTTCTGTAAAACGTATTTGTTATTGTTCACCATGAGTTCAGTGTTGTCTTGACTGGATAAGAAACGAAAGATATTGTCATCTGTGTTGGGAATGGGATTGATGAAGAATGTTTTCCCCCACACATTTACGGGGGGTATGTGTTCTTCGACATGATCCCTTGAACGTCCGGAACCGATAGTTGTTACCGTGCTTCCCCCAAAAACGGACACTGGAGAACTGGTGAGTATAAAGGTACCCGTCAGGTCTCCGCTTGTTACGATGTGAAGTGTTTCAAATCGGTTTATGGTCGTATTTATCCAATCACCGTCGTGAAATTTCTTCCCGTCCACCTCTACCTCCACATTTCCTCCTACTGAAAGCTTGATGGATAAATTTGTATTATCCTCAACTCCTACAACTAAAATCGCTGTTTTGAAGTAATTCACAAAATGGGCGTTATTTCTGTAAGCAGGAACATAGTACTTTGTACCCAACACATCAACTGGTAGTGCCATGAAACCATCTGTCGACGCATCGGCAACGTTTAAGCCAAAAACAATAATTTCTTTGTTTCCCTTGATAAGCACCCCGTTATTACAACGCATATTACCATGTAATCTTAATTCTTTCCGAAGCTGTACATGTTCAACCTTGTCTGGGGTGACAATTATTTTCTCGACATTGTTTCCATATTTTGGGGTAGATATTTCTACATCTACTGGTGTTGCAGAAGACGTAGTTATAAACAGATCAACTGGTTTCTTTGAAACTTGTCCATCAAAAGCATTTGCTTCCATGTATCCTATGATAAATTCTTTTCCTTGATTGTCTGGAATTTCAATCCCTGTAAATTTTGATACTTATATATGGATAGAAGAATATAAAATCAAAGTCATTTTCTTATTTTAAAATTTTAAAAATTCACATTTTATTTTGAAATGTAATTTGATCTGAACTTTGATATCTGATGAACTATCATGATGTAAATAAAAAATAATACCGAGTACTTTTCTCATCACTACAACAAATATTGCAATAAAGGTGGTAAATTGCATCTTTTTACATCATCTACAATGAACACAAATATATATTTAAGGATTCTGTCAGTTTTTTTCATTTTCAGGGATATGTTTCATCGTCAATGTTGACGAATCCTCTCTCTCTATCTCATTATACATGTATACTGAAAGGAAAAAGAAACGCAGGGTAAACTTTAGTTGTGAAATAATTTCATTTTTCCCTATGTATTTTCTAGTATTCCTATCTAACGTTTAAATTATCTTAAATAAAAAAAATGTTACCAAATTTCATTTAACTTTGCTTCATAATTCGTAAGTTATTGAAACTGATATGACGATACCCCCCAAAAGGGAAAATTAAAAATTTTCATTATCTTCAATGTTTCATTCGCGCATCTGTCACATTCTTGTCTCTCTCTTGCATGGAGTTCATCAGTGTGTTTTTTCAAACAAAAAGGGATATTTTTCAACCTTTTCAACAATATAACCCTTAGTTGAAAGGGAACACCTTCGGCATTTCAAACCCCATCTTCCACTCAGACCCACAGATGTCCAATGAGAAAAAAAAAATGGACTTTACGAAGACCAGCCGAGTCGGTAAATGTGATTGTTTGCTAAAAAGTCTTGATAGCCCAGGCTACAATGAGTCGGTGGTAAACACGCCGAAAAAAAACAGCCAAACAGCGCGCGAATGCGCCAGTTAGAGGAACCCCAACGTAAACTCGATCAGCTAAAAGATCCAAATCGTGCAATCTGTTTCTTTCAGTTTTATAGTTAATGTAATGATTATGATAACCTACTCTATTAATGGCAGTTTTGTGGTAGTACGGTGGCGATTAAACAGGTGGCAGGATGAATAACCCAATCTTGAAGTTGCTCTGTTACGCGTCAACGTCATCGACAAGGTTGATTAAAAACCATTCAAGACACTCTCTGACTACGATAAAGACGTTCTGTGGGGGTAAATTTACTAGCAACTGCAAAGCAAGCCGTTGTTGCCTTTGTCCTTACTTAGGCAACGTTAAAGCCAGACCCCATGGAACTTTCGTCAACTGCTCCAAGATTGCAAAGGAATGTATTTCGTCTACAAATATTGAAAATCAATTGATATGCCTCAAGTGCATCTAATTGTACAAAAAGATAGTTGACAAACTTGTCGTCATCAAGGTACACGTGTTTTTGGCTTCTTAGCACTTTTCCGACGTGACGTCATACATTTTACGGTCAAGTAAGTCTGAACACTGATTTTAGTGCATAACAACCAAGATTCTCATCTTACTAATTTTCGTAATTTTTGGTTATGCGGTCAAAATAATTTCATATATTATGTTATCCCGCGTTTCTTTTTCCTTTCAGTGTATAATAAAAAAAATATTCATCAACAAACTCACAACTCCAACAGCAACATTTTGACGAAAGCTTTCGCGGGAAGCTAATTGGAATGATTTAAGAATGAATGTAATATATTTTTGTTTGATCTAGGTATCAGAGAAAAAATTTGGACGGAAAATTTTATTGATGAAAAGTTTTCCGTTCAAATTTTTTCTTTGATACATCGATCAAACAAAAATATATTACATTCATTTCTTATCACTTATTTATGATTTTTAATTAATAAAATGAAAGTTTCTTTCACTTTTCTATTAGATTTACGCTTCAGAAACAGTGCGCACGAATACATCACCACAACGTTAACGTTGCCGAAAATTCAAAATGGCTCTAACCATGCTAGCGAAAAAAAACGTTCTTAAATATTGTCGTGTGATTACCAAATTTCTCTGAAATAATTTACAGTTTTTTAACACGAAAAACTTACCTGTTGTGTTATAGCGAGCGCAGCGAGCGTCGCGAAGCGACGCTCGCGAAGCGAGCTCAATAGACTAACGTGTAAGAACAGAGGAAATTCGGATTGAAATCTGTACATACGTCAGCCAAATTTCTCTGTGCAACATTCCCAGAATTCCTGCACTACCCAATGTCCTTTGCGCGAATATTGCCGAATAAATAAATAAATAATAACGTAAAGCATATATCAGACTTTCAGTTTGTAGAAATCTTTCAAAGAAACAAGAAATAACTCTGCAATGTTTTTCGACAAAAATTGCACTAGTTCTATAGTTTCAAACAGACGCTCGGCTGTCTCCGTAAGCTCCGACGAGCTTTGTGACGTCGTATGACGTCATAGCTAGTCGAGATATCTCGTGCGGCTTGACGTTCGAAGTGGCTGATCTCAAGTGTTTTTGATGGTACAACTGCGCTCGCCCCAACGGTCTCACCGTAAAACATATTATTCCTCTGGGTATATTTCCACGGTAAGTTATCTAAGTTCATAAATGTTAGGCCTAAGGGAAGCTACTCAAATATCCTAACAGTTCTAGGGCACAGAAATTTTTGATTTCATTTGCACCTCTTTTCATCTGAATTTCAAACCGAATATAACTATAAATACGTATCACAACCTGTCAATGCTGTAAAACCTGAAAGAGTCTGCTGCCGAATATTCAAGATTTAAAGAATTCCGTCCTCATTGTCATTCATGCATTGTCGTTTTTTTCTCGGTCATTCGTTTCCCACGATCTAACAGATTTACGGTTTTCCCCGCCATGGTAGCACAATAAACATTTTTTTTCAGAGTTCTATTGTTTCATACCAGATATCTCAAAGTCAAACATTTCTGAGAAGTATGCTAATTTTTTCCCTTCTCTCCCATATCTGTACTGTCGTCATGCAGACGATTTGATTTGTTTTGCAAAGGGGGATAATTAAAATAGAAACGAAAGTAGAAAATAAGTCAGGAACGTGACGGACAGGTTCCGAAATTCAGGAAAATATTTATCAAAGTACAAGTATTTATTTATTCCTTCAAAAATTAACCTGGAAGCGGGGAAATATGCATGTAAAGACAACCAAAGTAGTCCCGGCTGCTTAGTGCCAGCGAACTCTAGATTTTATTGATGCAGTTATCAAATGAATTTTTTTTACCGATTAGAATCATGTATTTTATAGAAATTAAATGATTCGTTTATCAAATAGAAAAAATATTATTTACAGATATATTTTACTGAAATTTGTGTAAATTATGTTAATTATGTTAATTTAATTACATGGCAGTTTTTAATTTTCATATACGTATTAGTGAAAAAAATATATTTAAATAGTTTTCATTTCTCTGGGACATCCTTGTACATGTATATGCAAATACATGTATATATGTACAGAGAAGTGTACAGATGAAAGCGATTTATAAAATAAGTCATATTTGTAAAATGATTTACTTTGTTCTTCAGCACAGTTATAGAAATAAACAGGTATAAAGATACTGCGCAAGTTTGATATATCAATTTCTTTAAGAATATTTTTTTAAGTTATATCTTGTCTTACCTGAAATCAATTTACTTCCTCTTGTGTTGTCTGTCGAAAACCCACACTTTTGCAGGATCCTGGGTTTTATGTGACAATCTGAAGGGTTAATCAAACTTACCAATCGTTAAACAGATAATGAAAATAATGCATGCCGAGTTTGAGAAATCCTTTTAAAATTCAGGATTTCTATAGCGCATTTCTCACCTTGTTTCTGAAAATCTTTCGTTTAGTAAAAAAATAACTACCAGGTTTTGTTGTCTGTATATATTTAAGTATCATTTAAGTATATTAAAAAAAATAATGTTTCTTTGAGCGACGTTCAAGGAATCGAAAAAATAAATTTTAAAATCACTTTAACCTAATTTGAAGTCCTCTGATACTGTACAGCAGGAAAGTAACTCGCGGAAACACTTCACTTGACTTTCAAAATGATTTCTCATAAAACAGTTAGAACAGTTGTAAATATTTTTTTTAATACTGTAAACGTGCTTTTCCGTGATATATTAAATTGCGCGGAAATTATTTTTCCGTGGAAAAAAGTATTTCAGTACACAGAGATCATTTTCAACATATACATGTAAAGACAAACCAGGGAAATTGGGTATAATTTCTACGTAATGGATATAAGTATCATTATGAAAAGTTTTGGACTTGGTGAGGCGCGCAAGCGACGTAGCAAGTCCAGTATTTCTCATAATGAACCGTTTGAGGCTTTTATTTTACTTAAAACATTTTTAAAGCTAAAATGTTAAAGTATTGAGATAAATTCAAAAGACACTTGTTTTGTCTTAAAGAATGCCACTCTAATTAATTGTTTTCTTTCACCTATTTACAATCACCTTCTAGGAGCCCACAGTAAAGTTTACGGTCTAATATTTACATTCGCTGTGTTTTTCTACTAAGCCAACTGTGAAATTGATTTGAAAGTCATTTTTGTGTATACTCACGCGTAGAAATATACACGGAGAAACGTGCGTTAACGTGACGTCACAATGAGGCTGCAGCGACGTTAGTAAAAATGCAGCGATATAGGACAGCGAGAAATTCAAATATTGAGTATATTTTAGTTGCTTCCAAACATGTAAAATGTAAATATAAGGAATGTTTTTCAGTTTAGTGTGAATTATTGGTGTGTGAATCACACAGGCTTGCACGTAGGCATATTTTTCATGAAGCGCTAGCGCGCTTCATGAAATATGCCTACGTGACAAGTCTGTGTGATTCACACACCAATAACTCACACAAAACTTAAAAACATTCCTTAAGTATTACAACAATAGATATTCAACGGTCAGCTCTGTACAGTATTATAACAGACTTCACGTATGACACGCCCCCGAGTCTTCAATTTAAGTCATCGCTACCCTTAATGTCATTCAGTTAGCAACATGGAATCAGAGAGTGATGTCGAGATTTTTAAGACTGGAAGTTCTTTTAGAACTCCCAGCGATAAGTCCGATAA